GCAGGGCTGCTCTCAACCCCTTCATCCCCCAGCCTGTATTGTTACAGGGGTTTGCCCTGACCCAGGTGCAGGACCTTGCACTTGGCCTTGTTAAACCTCATGAGGTTCACACAGGCCCACTTCTCGAGCTTGTCCAGGTCCCTCTGGATGGCATCCCGTCCCTCTGGCATGTCGACCGCACCACTCAGCTTGGTGTCATCTGCAAACTTGCTGAGGGTGCACTCGATCCCACTGTCTATGTCATTGATGAAGATATGCAACAGTACTGGTCCCAATACAGACCCCTGCGGGACGCCACTCGTCACCAATCTCCATCTGGACATTGAGCCGTTGACCACTACCCTCTGGATGTGACCATCTAACCAATTCCTCACCCACTGGACAGTCCACCCATCAAATCCATACCTCTCCAGTTTAGAGAGAAGGATGTTGTGGGGGACACAATTTGTCTAACATCAGCTACTGGATCTTGAATGTTTTCTCTGCCAGGTTAAAAAGATGTAGCCACAAGATTTTCCTTCTATGTTTAAGGGCATACCCATGGTCATTATATCTCTTCTCAACTTCTCTTTGAGAACCTGCACACTCCTGAGCTCTTTCAGACCTCATCAGGCTTGTTCTCTGGTCCCAAAACAGTTTCATGGCTTTCATTTAAATTATCCTTGTGTCGCTACAACTTTCTCAAAGTATAAACAGTGGGCCTGGAAGCAGTAATCAGACAATACTATGGTTTCACTTCACTATTTCTACTTGATGAACCTATTTTCTGTATCTAACAGGAATTCTTCCTACAACTTCACAAAACCTTCACAGTGAAGTAGCTGTTTATGATGCTTCAAAAATCCTTCTCAATTTACCGTTTTTCAAGAACTGAGATTTTGTTTTTTACATTTTTAAAGGGTTTTTTTTTCAAATCTTACTCCCAAGGTAACAAGACAGCAAAACAGGTAACACCACCGTACATTTGTGTTTTTACTGAATGATGCCAATGGTGTGTTTTAAGTGAAAGTTGTCCTGCATAAATTGAAGTATACTACATCAACATCCCACGTGTAAACTCATAAATAATAAAAAAAAATAGCCCACTAACATTTCCACCAAACAACGTTCAAATGGAATTCAGTGCATTTTTTTGCCTTTCATTCTTTGCTGATAAAATCCCAAGTTCACCGGTTCACTGTTTGCTGGTGCTGATGCTAGGTGACCGGTCTTCAACTCTTCTGTTATCACCCTTGCTCTTTTAAAGGTTGAAATTACTTTGGCACACCTTTCGTTCTTTGGAATTCCGTTTTCCAAACTTTAATTAAAAGTAATACTTGTGGTTCAGAGATTTGAATCTCCACTACTTAAAGGCCTGCTTAAGTCCCTAGCTCAGATCATGCATAGTAATGTAAAGCCCCACTGTTCAACATTAGCTCTCTAAAGCAGGTTGTCTACAGCCACACTACATAGCATTTTGTCATGGGTCACTGCTGATTCTTAGGTTATTGTCATTTTTGTACTTTTTAATTCAAAGTATATTCAAATACTGAGGGCTGCAGGGTTTCTATAGCATGAAACTATAAGCATGCAAAAGTAGATGGGAGTGTTGGAAAGGGAAAAGCGTTGGGGAAGAATGGAAGGACCCAACCTAGTGCAACCTGCTGGGAGCAGTCCCTGGAGAAAAGTGTGCCCACATCAGCATTCAAGTTCATCTCAGAGGGAACAAGTCGATTGACTCGCAAAGTGAGCTTAGCATTGAACCACTATTTGCTCAGCTGGAGACCAGCAGGTGGGAAAGAACATTAGCTGACAACTATACATGCATTTTGATGGACACAGTTCTATTAGGTCAAGTGTCTTGGCCTGATCATCATCCAGCTTTTTTTTTTTTGTTAACAGACTTTTTGGTTAATATAATTGCCCAAGAAACAAAAACTCCCTAATGGTAAGATGGAGACTTCAGGATCGTATGTTTGTCTTTTTGTTCTACTACTCTACAATCTCCTGTAAAATTATTTTCTTACTTAACTTTATATTTCTAAAATGTAATTATACATTATAAACATCAGGGGTCCTGAAAGTTATCTAGAATGCCATGCTCTCTGCAGGACTGGATTCATGATTGTGCTTAAGCTCTCACAGCTGTGCTCTATGTGACACTAAAGATACTCGGTATAAGAATGAGAAACTAAGTAATAGGCAGGACTGCATTTTATTCACAATCACTGAAAAGGAATGGGAATAAACAGTCAGTTCCTGCCATAGGTCACCAGTGGCACTCTGCAGAGTCTTTGCTAGGTCATGTGCTGCTTGACTAATCATAATTAACCTCAAAAAAAGGACAAAGCGACAAAATTTGCCAATGATAAAGTTAGTGAGGGTAGTAAGACTATGGCAAACTGTGAAGAACTGCAGAAAGACATGTAAGACCAATTAGAAAATGACAGATGCGATTCAGCATAAATAAAAAATTATACACATGGAGATAAACAACTGTAGCTTCACATACAAAACAATTGCTTCTGAGCTTATTATTACCACTCAAGAGCGAGATCCTGCAGTTACGATAGAAAATGCCATGAAAACAGCTCAGAGCTCAGTTCAAATTAAAACAGTCAAGTATTAGGGATTACTAGGAAAGGAATAAATAACAAGAAAGCAAACAAACAGGCCAGTACTTAACTACATGGCTAATGCTGCACGCAGTTTTGGTTCCCTTCTCAGAAAATATGAGACCCAGAAAAGTTTCAAAGGACAATAAATACAGAAGCTATTCTATGCCTTTAGTTAGCCAAGGAATATGTTAACTAACACATTTCAGTTTAGAAAAGAGGAAATTTAAAGGTGAGTATGTTATACATCTGCAGAATCATGACTGGCACAAGCCTGACAGGTAAAAGTTTATTGTGCAGGGAACATTAAATCAACCTAGTAAAAATCAGGTTCAAAATAAACAAGAAGTGGCAATTCTTCATGCAACAGACATCGATTGATAAAGGCTGCTGTTATTCAGGAAGCGTATGTCATCCAAGGGAAACTGGACAAGTACTGGAAAAAAAGCATTGGGAATTACTAAATAGAAAAACCATATGATGTTCAGGAAAGCCTGGAATAGAAGACACTTGGAAGCTAGAACACAGAAGGAAAAGAACCAAATGTGCTCGCATTGTTCTTATCCTTCCTCAGGCATCTGCTTTTGACTACAAAAGAGGCTACTGTGTTAGAAAAACCTTTGGTCAAGACCCGTATAGCTACTTCTACGTTTATCTTTTCCAGAGTTCCAAGAGCAGGTAAGTAAGGAGCCCAGAGGAAAAGCACATGCTGTTTGCTTGGCTTCTTATAGTTAAATGTAGTAGAAGGTGGTATGTCACAAATGCAGCCAAGGCTTCTCAGCCATCAACGCCAAGTCTGAGCACGCGCGTTCACATAGTGGGGATGCTAATAAAGTGACAGACTTATGTTACAGCACAGATACGTTTCCAGGATGAAACTTCCTACTAGAGGGATTTTCTTCTTTTTTTCTTACCAGGAGGAAGAAAAAAATATTTCTTGTGTTTGTTCTGGACAGTACCCCAAATTAAAAGTAATCAGGAGTTCTGTTATACCAATTCCTAAGCACATTTGTTCCATGCAGTATTGTGAAAGAAACTTTGCCAAGTATGCTGAGGAAAAGTATATAGACTTTCTAGGTAACCACAGATCTGCCAAATTTAAGAAACATCTCTTCCCTGCTTTCAGCCCATATATGTTAAATATTCAACCTTAAGGTTTGAATTTCATTTTGTAAATATGAACTATCAAGTATAACCAATGTTGCCACTTAGTTCGATGTAATGATGAAAATGATGCATTTTTTGTTTTGTATCAGTGAAATTAGGTTTTTGAATGTCAAAAACATGTCCTGCTTCTATAATTCTGCATGACAAATGGTCTACCAGCAAAGTCTAAGTGCATAAAACCAGTAAGTTTATTGATGATAAAATGGTAGGTGCAACTTACTGGACAGATCAAGAATTATATATGAATTGTTCTCATACTGCATTTGCAAGCTGGTTCTAAGCATTTCAAGGACATAGAACCAAAACTGAAATCAAAGTAATCAATAGAGTAACATTCAAGGGAAGGCATCAGAATTCCTGTACTGCCCAAAGATCTGGCAATGGAAGAAAAGGAAAAGCACCAGCAGAAACATGCACTCCAATAGGATTTCATAACTATTATTCTGGGCACATTTGCTATATTTTACAGAAAACTCTCAGAATTTAAGTTTCATGGGTGAGAACTCACAGACTTAGACGCGGCTCCTGAAAACAGCAAGAATGCTCCCCAAGTCTTTTCTCATTTTTGAGATGTAGCACTGAGTCTAGATAAAGTTAAGTAATAATTGCTAATTTCTGTTGATCTGACCTGGCATTTTCATTATGTTTTACTGACTTTTCAGACTTCCTAGGATATATTTCATTGTTGGTATCTTTTCATACTAGGGATACCTTAATGTTTTCAAAAAACACTACACTCAGTATTCAAAAGTTATAAATCTGAAGTTAAAATCCTTTGTAAATTGGTGTTGTAAGTGTTCATGAGCAAGCAAAATGATACCACTTAAAAGTCCCCCAGTTTAGTTATCCAGAAGTTTTCACAGCATCCTCCTGGAATGATTTTCAGCCAGGCTAACTGGAAATAATGGTGATTCAGTGTAATATAAATATTATTCTATTCTCTCTGCCAGCAATATGAAGTATTTAGCCTCCTGAATCACTTTTTGCAGAGCTATGACCTAGAGTGCATATGATGTAAACTCTTAAAATAGAAAGAATTTTTTTCTCTGCACAAATATAAGATTTGGCTTAACTAAGATTCCAGGTTCATTTCTAAATGTGTTCCACCCTATTAACCTTGGAGATTACACTAGGTCCCATTAGCAGTGCACCTTGAAACCATGCTAACAAAAAACCGAAAAAGCTTGAACAGCAGCAGATGAAGAAAACACAAGAAACCATTTTCTTATGAAGTAGAATTCCTGGATGCAAGGATATTTACTGGAAAGTAACATGATAAACAGTTTACCATATATACTATAAATATTTGTTTTGGCATCAGTGAAGATTCCTAGTGCTGAATGAGAAGACATTGCTATAGCAAATGACTGTTTAAGATTCACTGATTCCCATCAACCAAATCTGATGCTTCTCATATACTTGAGTAGGCAGTAACGATATAGCCCTAATATTTTTAGGTCTAGTGATCAGGACAAATGTAACAAATGTAGCATCTGAACTCTGTAAAATATTCCATGTAATCTAGAATTTAAATTTACATACATTTCTGCATGGGTAACTGAAGTTCCCTTGTTATTCAAGTTAAACACTTTTTCCAACAATTTGATTCAAAAAGACAATTCATTACCTACATTATCAAGAGTCCTTTATTTCTTACTTTCATATTGAGACTTAAGTCACTTCCCTTCCCCTAATTAAAATAAAGTCAGGATGGGCTTCATTCCTATCTGGTCTATAAAGAAAAACTGAAATTGTACATGTAGTTTTTCATCAAAGCAAGAGATAAAAAACAGAGTATATTAGCACTTCTAAAGGATGCATTAACAAGCTATACTCATCATAACAATATTTGTTGCTACACACTAGTAAGTTGAGCAAGTGTGCAGTATCTGACATGGTTTAAAAATACTGGATGCCAAAGAGCAATTGCACTATATTCACAAATAGTTCACAAAAATACCAAATAATGAGATTACTGGTGAACTTATCTTATTAAACAACTTTTCAAAGCTATTCTATACATCATCCTTTTCAAGAAGATGACAGAAATATTCTGAAACCTTCACACACACACTTATTTAACTTTCTTTCTGAATAGTGGCAATCTTCACAGCCTCTGTTAACTTCAGCTTGGCATTCTTCTCACACAGAAATCTTCTCCCATGTCAGCCTGTCATATTTTCAGCGGCCTAGAAACAGAAAAAACATTTATTGCAAATCACCAAAAGTAGACAGCATGCAGATTAAATTTAATCTTTTCTTGTAACCATTTTAATTTACCTAGAGAACTTAGAAGTCTAAAAATAAGCTACTTAGGAAAACTGTAAGATGTGTTGTGCTGTTCTCCAATGAATACTTCTATTCTTCTTAAAAATACTATCAACTGCCATCAGCCTTTATTAACGTAGCCATTACCATTTGCTTGTGTTAAATTGTATATTCTGTATCTGAGCAGCTTGTATCCTGTACATTTTACCCTAATGCTTACAGGAAGTGCTCAAATGCATTAATTTTTTTCCTTTGGAGTTTACTTCTTTATACATTTATAGTAATTATTACTCCCACTCATACAGATAAATTATTGACACAAAACTTGGAAGAATGACACTAATCATAACTGCATAAATCACACTGCCAATTATTTGATCAAGGTCATCAGTAAGTATTTTTATTACTGAATAACTCAACCCAGCCAACAAGGTACAGTTGTTGGAGACTGACATTGGTAAATTTTAAGCCAGCTACGGGACAAAGAGGCAAAGGATAGCAACAGGAATGATAAACCGGTAAAAGCAAAGGAAGAAGTAAAACAGCCCTCCATTACTTATATGTACAGTTAAATATATATGTATGCACACATTTAAGCATGTACCCAAATATGCATGAGCATGAATACAGAAAAACGTTAAGTTAAAAATGAAGTAAAAAATTTGAAAACTGGTGACAAATAGTCTTGACTAGCATCCATCTAGTTAAAAATGCATAAGTTGAATTTTCTAAGAATCAGAGTGCAGTCTTCCAGAACAGAGACAGGCAGGCTAGATATAGGTTTCCCCTCCACCTCCCCAGAAATAAACAAAATAAGATACAGTGGAAAAGAAATCATGATGTTTCGGTAGACAGTAAAGAATGAAAATCCTTTAAAAGGCAAGTGAGGATTTTTTTTAAACCACAGTTGCCCTCTCTACTAGCTAAACAGGTAAATGCTAATTATGAAAAGCCCTATATATACACACACCATGAAGTCCCCTCTTGTTCTTCTCTGGAGAGATTCAAAGCACAGGTTAATGTGGTAAAAGCAATATGTGAAGATTACATTAGCAAGCTGCACGCAGCTGTTTACAAGTACTGCTGCATACTATTAGGCCTGAGGTTGTAGAAATGGGGTGATATGGGTTAAAGGAGAAAGTAGCAATCTATTTGTGATATGATGCAGATAAGGGGGCAAATGGTGTCTACAAATGCCCGGAATAAAAAGCTGTGGGTTTTGGTCGTTGTTTTTTTTCCCTTCAAAAGAGTTAATCTAATTATTTCTGAAAAGATGTTATTCGTACCATTTCTTGCTTCATTCAGTTGTATACATTGCCTTTTCTATGGAACAGTTCATTTCCTTGATTTAAAAATGAGTCATATCTTGAAGTACAATTAGCAAATTGAAGCATAGCAAGTTGAACATAGATCTGACTCCTAAAAAACAAATCTATAAGCTTTTTAGGCAAAAGCATTACCTTTAGAGCTTCTGTAGCCTTACGCAGTTCTTTAATAACAGATGATAATGCTTCTGGATTTATCCCCTGTTCACAAAGCCGCACACAAATAGACAACGTCTCCATATCCAAGCCAGTGTTTAATATTCTTGAAATCTCAAACAGAACTGCAACAGAAAAAATGAAAGCACTTTAGTCCCTACAGACTGAAATTTCAGTGATTGAAAATGTTATTCATCAACATTTAATTTCTAGAGAGTAGAGTCTGTGAACGTGACAGTTGTGGAAAGCTCTTGCAGTCTGAACCTCAACAACAGCATTCATGTTCAGCTTTCCAGCATAAGATAGAAGCCACAGCTTCTAACATAAGTACCATGTTTTCCTAGTTCAGCAAACTTAATACTGGATAATGGGTTTTGAAAAATAAAAATTAGGTGAAGAATTCAATAACTAACATGCTTGCCAATTACGTAAAAGGTAGGCTACAATAATAATATGTGCTTTTGAACTCCAGATACTGATGAAGTCCTGCTAAAATGGACTGGAAGCACATTCTTAAAGCTTTTACAGAGAATGTCAGGGGTTTTCTAGCCACCTCCTTCCGTAGCTAAACCTGGCTTTAGGTCTAACATTAACATTGGTTTAAGGATAAGCAATACTATTCGATTTTTACATGACCTGACTCAAAAGCAGCACCACATGTCAGTATGAAATGTTTTGGAGAAGGAGATTCCAGTCAGCTTTGTGCAGAAACAAAGATCTCTCTCTCCTTCTAAACCTTCCCTGGAAGGCCGCTTTTCTTTCTCATAAACAGTTTGTTACATATGTAACAGAACAACTTGCTGAGATTTTATTTCTGGTTGCTACAGTAATCTCCATCCTGAGGCTAAGCCTCTAGCAATACAGGTTGATTTCGAACAGATGGTATTCATGCTGTTTCTGTAATTAAACCTCCCCCAAACTAGGAGAAAGTGAAGTAGAAGGTCTTTCTTACCACGTAAAAGCAGCATGGCAAGTGACTACTGTCCACTTGACAGCTACAAAAATATTCTACTGTAGTATACCAAAGACATTCTGCAGCATACCCTCAGAGTCAGGCTTACCCAGGCCAAGACATTAGAGGCCTAATGCACCCACTCAATTCCACTGAAGTCACAGGGAAATGTCAGATGCTATGAAAAAACCCTCTAGGTGTGATAATACTCTTGAAGCCCACACAAGTAGGTTGGATTAAGAATACGCACAAGTTTAAGACATGAAAGCAGTTTGTCAGACCAAAGCCCTAGCTACAAGCCACGAGGGAAGCTTCCTGCTCCACAACAAGGCTTTCTGTTCCCAATGGACTGAAGGCAAACCATTCTGAACACATTACACACGCGCACCCTGTCCACATGAAAGCATCTTCAACAGCCAGATAAAGCAACAACAAATTGATGCATTTGCAATAAAATGCAATTGAACATTAAGAGCTACAGAACTAAGAAATTCTGACAACTTACCAGAAAAATAATTCTTACTTTCTTTAACCATTTACAGTTTATTATAAAATTTACTAAGCATGTGATGTATTTGAAGGCAGAGCAGTAAATCTAACTAAAGATAAGTTCCAATTTCCTATGTCAGCAAGAGTTGTAGTCACTCATTTCTAATAGGAAATATCTTTAGGTGTTGAAGCAGCATCTTTGGCAGAGAGAGATAGCAGTTTCTCCATGAAAAATCTGAGCTCTTAACAACAATTCTGCAGAAAACAGCTGCTAAATATTTATAACTGACATCCTAGATTAAGCATTTTACTTGTCTAAACTACTAAAGACATAAAAGAGCACTTTTTTTTTAATAATTCTACCAACCTATTTGCTTCCATTAGATGCGTATTACTTATGCAGTAAGTTAAGACGCAACACAGATTTCATGTTCAATTAAAAAAGGCCTAAAAAAATTATCCTACAAGTATTTCTTTCTACTTATTATGATGGGCCCTCATCAAGAAAAATCTAATTACACAGACACAGCTATCACAGTGGTTTACATTTTCAGTTACTTCAAAGCACTTTAAATATTCTTATAATGGAAATTTCAAAAGATTAAATTGAACAGTAAAAAAACCCAAAACAATTTATTTATTGAGTGCAGTAAAAGTTCAAACATGAGTGTATTTCTAAGACTCTCTAAGTAAATCTTTAAAGATCAAGTGTATTTTTAAGTTAATGGAGATTTGTTTTCTTCTAAAAACACCTGGCCTCAGGAAGAGATTAAATTATGAATGTCCATCCTAAATAAAATATACACATTGTTACACAGGAAGCCTGGGCTCCTAAATCTGAAGGCTAGTACACTTTCCACAGCAGTTCTCAAAAGCCTTACTTTGTCTTTAAATCTGCATATCACCCCTCCCATCTAAAACATTCCTGCAGAAATGGAGAAAGGGTAGGTGTCAAGTACAGTTAGGAGAACTTAGTATCACTGTCCTTCCCAAACAGATCTCTCTCCAGCTGCACAGAATGGTCTTATCCTCTTGAAGCATCAAAGCATAATCCTGCTAGTCCTGCCTTGCCTCCAGCAGCAGGTCAGAGTAGGTAGATCAGCAGCTGAAACACCGATTTTTACACCAGTTCAGCTCATCAAGGTCTTCGCTAAGGAACTGTATGTAACAGTAGCAATAACTATAATGGGAAGGGAAGGAAGATCATGAGAAAATAACAAACACAAAGCAATACCCCCCTGAACACAGTCTCTAGTCCCTCATTAGGGCATTTCCAGAGAAAGTCTTCATATTTAACAACCCTCAGAGGATTTCTTGGCAACTTTCCACTCTGCCTGAAATCCATACGACCTTTTGGCACAGCCATTCCATGGACTTCCAGCTTCACACGACACATTGCTAAGAAACACCTCCTGAACATGCCAGCTGTGATTCCTCATAGTCAGGCTGGAAGAGAAAGTGAACACCTGATCCCTACTCACCCTGCTCACGTTTCTCACGGCTTATAAATCTTGGAAATATTTCCCACTACTCCCAGTGCCACTTCTCTCACATTGCCCATCCCAAAAGAGCGCGCTCTTTTTTTTTTTTTTGTATTGGGAGCTATTCTAATTCTGTAACACTGACTGCCCTTCTCAAAACTTTTTCGCTGTAGATCTTTCTCATAGTAATTTACTTGGGTTTTCTGACATGAGCAGTCCACAGGAACAAGATAGTGGGGTTAAGATCAGTTCAGGTGCTGCCACTTACAGCACCACAGGGCTGGTCCTTCCTCTCCCTTCCACACACTTCCTTCCCTCCAGTTTAAATCCAAGATGCACAGAGCCAGGTAACATAATTGGCATCAACCATTTCAAACAATGAGAAAGAATAGCAAAGGTATCTATTTACGAAGATTAATAAGCAACGTTATTCTAAACTAAATGCTTAACAGCTAATTAAAAAAAACAAGGAAAGTTACACGAGTTTCAAAGATACTAGCGCCACACGCGTTATTTGAAGCGTTTCAGACATCACGCGTTACACGAAGTAAAAAGAAATTGCTACGCGCTAAATCCTTAAGCAATTGCAAACCGTAATCCCCTTCACAGGAGGGGCCCTTGTGTTAATTAGGAGCCGGCTCAAGGCCCCGCAGCCTGCGGAGAGGGGCGAGGGCTGGAGCAAGGCCTACTCGGAGCGGCCCGAGGCCGACCCGGGGCTGCCGGCGCGGCGGGAGCGGGGCCCCC